AGGCCAGGCAGTGCACGGTAGCAGAGAGGCTGACGTGTGCTGACGTCAGAAACACGCGGCGCACGTTAGCAAGGTAGTGCGCGGCGCACGTTAGCAAAGCAGGCCAGGCAGTGCACGGTAGCAGAGAGGCTGACGTGTGCTGACGTCAGAAACACGCGGCGCACGTTAGCAAGGTAGTGCGCGGCGCACGTTAGCAAAGCAGGCCAGGCAGTGCACGGTAGCAGAGAGGCTGACGTGTGCTGACGTCAGAAACACGCGGCGCACGTTAGCAAGGTAGTGCGCGGTGCACGTTAGCACGGGACAGTGTGGAGGACGCGTGAAGCGCGTGTGAGGCGGAAGGCGGAGGCAGGCGACGCGCCGTCACAAAAGTGGCGCGTGAGAGCGCGTGTCACGTCTGATTGGGCTGAAATTGGTGGCGTTGGAATCGTCCGGAGGAGACGAAGGCTCTGGTGTGGTGAAAACTGTATTTCAGAGATGGACGAAAAAAAAAAAAGAATACAGATGAAATGCAATCTGCAGAAAAATTTGTTGGAAGAAAAGGCTAGGCAGAAAACCTGTGCTCTGATACCATATAAGAAATTGAGAGAGATTGAGAGAGCAAATATTAGCTCTGTGTGTTTGATGATATATTGCAACCAAATGGAACCTCCATTATATAGGAGATGGTTTACAAGACATAATGATGAATCAAAGGAAATATACAAATGAAAGGCAAAAAGGAAAAGAAGGCCTATCTGTGCTAGGCTAGCAACAACGAGCTATACAGATATATAAGCTATTAATCTACTATTAGATTATCTACTATTAGCTGTAGGGCTATACATAATGTAGTATTAATATATTAACATCTTAGCTGTAGATAATATAGTATTAACAATCACCATTTTGTCTTCTTTTTTTTAACTATTAATTTTGTATATTTAAGTTATAAAATTTATAATTGTAGTCGATGTGATCAAATTGGAGAAGATTGCACAAACAATAACGGTTGAAACTTGACTTGTTAGGTAAAATGTCAATCTCTCGCTGCAGTGATAAATGGCATAAATACACATAGGTAAAGAGTATAACAAAACATAAAAGAGATGTGTGTATATATATCATGGTGTGTGTGGGGTCTAGTTTAGTGTGATGTTTTAGCTTAAATTTTTATTTATTTATTTTTTTTTAGACATGCCAGCTCAGTAGAGCTCTACTTTTAGAGCTCTATAGTATTGTTGTAAAAAATATTAACTACAAAGCAATCATGCAACATGATAATCACTTAACACTCTTTTTATTGACGTGATTGTTGGTGTTATTACCATTATTGAAAATTTTATGTAATGAAAATTGTTAGCATTATAAATCTGTAATTTTTATTATTATTTATTATTAATATAATTGTAAGATATGTGGCATTCTTCTACTTATTTGGAAGTTATGTAAAGTTATTAAATGTGAAAAGATGATAGAGAATAAAAAAGAAAACATGAAGCATGAATTGAAAGTTAAAGGAAGTTATGAGGACACGAAGAGATATGTGCCATTGTAGGAACTAGTGGGTGGCACACACGATGTGTGTGCAATTTAAATAAGTAGGAATAAAAAATAATAATAATGAAATTAATAATATAATGTGTACTTAGCTTAAGTGGTATGAGTGCTCGTACTTAAACTCATGGTATGAGTGCTTAACTTTTTGTATTATTTAAATTAATCTAAATAATACAAAAAGTTAAAAAGTCATTATTCTATTTAAGTTATATCATCTTATTTAAATTATATCACCTTTGTAACGCATCACATCAAACTCAACTCAAACCCAACTCATATAAGCCAATAAATTAAAAAATGTACTTTTTTAGAACATTTCAAACCAACCCCAAACCCTAACTGAGGTTGGGGCTAAGAAGATAATGGCATATATGGATGTCGAATTGGGATGATGCACATGGTGATGAGAGAGATATATAGAAAGCAGATACTTGCAGATTGGTAGTTGTTTTGGGATGTGTTATATAAATGTATTTTTTAATTTTTTAGTTAAAAAAATACAGAAAAAAATATGTATATTTAGGATAAGTTTTTGACTTTTCACGAAAATATATGTAATAAAATATTATAATAAAATTAAAATGACAATTTTATCCTTCTGACTTTTAACTTTTTGATTTTTTAAATAATTGAATTCAAAGGATAAAATTGACTTCTCCATAAATTACCCTTAAATAGTATAAATTTTTTTAATTCTTCTAATAATTTTTAAATTTTTTGACTTTTTAATTTATCCCAAATAAAGACTTTAGAGGCGGCTATTCCTAGCGGAACCAATAGTAGATGATAGATGACACACACCTTATGAAAGAGATGGTTGCAAAAAATAATCTAATGAAATAAGAGACAGTCATATTTATAGATATAGAAGGAGAAAGTCGTGGACAAAAAATCTAAAATTTGACCTAGTCTTTTAAAATATAAATTTGAAGGACTTTTATTTTAAAAATAGTATAGAATATCCTTGTACCTAAGAACTTGCGAAGAATTTCTCTTAATATATTATAAAATTTGTCGGTCCTATTACTTCCTTAAGGAAGTAATAATTTGCCCTCTTCTAATATGATCAAACTAATGTAACCCTAATACTAATCTTACGGATTAGTTTAGGTGTCAAATTCTGTAATTAATTTTTATATTAATAGATTTACTTTTAGTTTATATATAATTTTTAATATAACTATAAGATATCACAATTTCATTTCAATGAATTTAACAATTGAATTAATTTTAACAGTTAGTATATTTTTCAATTTGTTAGGGCATTCACAATGGGATAACTAAAATTGTTTGTTAAAATGTATGTTATATGACAAAAAGTAATAAAAGTGGGGTCCAAAAATATATGTTAAGATATGTTAAGAGTTTGTTAATTTTAGAGAGTGAGTGGTGGTGCAATTGATGTGTTAAAAGTGTGTGTTCAGTGTATATATATATATAAATAATAAATAAAATAGTATAAATAATATGTGTTAAGGTGTAGGATGAAGACAACAGAATGGGCAGGTCGTCCCGTGGGTCAACCGGCCGGTTGATCGGTCAAAGGCTATTTTTTTTTTTTTTTTGTGAAGGGTTAGAATGTCCGGGGAGATGACTGGCTGGACATCCAGTCGGACGATCCCAAGACACTTTCTCACGTCCCCTTCTCTCTCTCCCCTCTCTCTCTCGCTTGCTAAAAAACTAGTCACAGTTCACAAGAAGTTAACAACTGACACTAACAAAATCCACTAACACACTACTTAACACTTCTATTGTGAGATCCAAACATTACTGTAACTAGCTAAAATTTGGCCACTGACACTAATACAATCACTAACACGTTCATTGTGGATGCTTTTATGTTATTGGAATTTGACTAGCAGGTGGTCCAGTGGACTATGCATCCACCCTCTACTAATTTGAGCAATGGTTGATTTTTGGAGCGTTAGTTTACTTCAGCACATTACATTGTACTTTAGGGGTGATTTGAGATGATCTAAATAAGTGTACTTTTTTACTTTTTGTAAAATATGGGTTGAATATAGGTTGGGTTTGAAGTGA